TATTAGTTAGTAAATTTCATCTACAGTAATATGTTTGTTAATAGCAGATTCATCTGATTTGTACGAGGCTTCCAGAAATTCCCAGGCATTTTTTGGTGTTTTCTCTGTCTAAAATGCCCACTTCTCCCAGTCAAATTTGTGTCCGTAATTATCTACCTCCATCGACATAAAAGAATAAAAATCGCGTCTTTTCACAGCTAACTTATGTTCTTGGATTCTGATTCGAAAGGAACTCCCATTTTGAACAATGGAGTATTTATGCTGTTGGATCCTTGGGTCAGGAGATACAATTACCTTATCATTCATGGAGAATTCAAACAAGTTCATTTCATGCTAAAACCTGAGCTGAAGATGTTGTCTGGAAGGAGAACGAAAGCTTCACAATTAGGCCAACCACCTTAGAGGAACCAACCAAATAAAATACCTTTCTTTTCCTTCTACTAAGCATCAAGATTGCAAATGTACGAAAGGGCAAAGAGTGAAATGATGACACAGAAATTACAAATGACACAGAATGCAAAACCACTGCATTTACAAAAAGTCTGAAAGATGATGAGGAGGATTTCGGTAAATGGCCCACAACAAAGTATTTCACGTGTTCAGCAATACGCAGGAGGAATTAATTACGTGATACGTTGAATAACTTTCGTTTTCTCAACAGAGAGTGGGTTCAAACAGCCTAGTAACAATAGATTCGGCAAACCGAAGTAAAGTTGGCTTCCTGTGCTTCTTTATAATGGTGATGCTAATAAATGTCGGGCACTAAAGGACTTAGAACCATTTGAATCTCAGGCTTTTTGAAATATGCTCAGAAGATACACTGGATACCCAATTTTCCATTACTCCAATATACTTTCTCTAGAATGTAAATGTGAATTGATAAACACAGTTGAAAATAACTTCTCATTGGTACATGTGCACTCTCGATTGATAAGGAGCACAATTAATGCCGCAAACAGGAATATTTTTAGCTACTGGACAAGTTCTGGAGAATATTATTCTTAGTCTCCTGGTAATTCACCATTACAGAAGAATTCCATGAAGACTGGCTTTTGCCGGATTGTGACTACATTTCTTTTCATTAACGTATTCCCTTTATCATCAGCTTATGAATTTCTTCAGGTAATCGTTTTCAGACACATCCTTCCAGAAAGGTCGACTCTTCATGTAGTCTAACTTCAAAGAAAAGTTTTAGTACTCTCTCAAACCATAACCTTACTAACGCCTGTTTCTATTCGACTAGATAGATACCAGTATATCTTAAATACTTGTTTGTTCGATGTATTCTAGCACTAAACATGCCGAGAACTTAATGCGATACTGTTAAATCGAGTTAGCACTAAATTTTACTGCACTTTAAGGCGACTAATTAATAGGCGATTAGCGACTGAAAATGAAAAAAAATGTAACTGACTAGTTCAAAGCATATCACGAGATAAGTGACGGAGTCTTGACGGTAAACTATAAAGAATCACCTACATCAATTAACACTTAGGAACCAACTATTTGTTGGCTGCTGGAATGTTAGGACGCTGTTAGACCCTGGTAGCCAGTCTATCACCATGCGTTCTTTATACGACTACAAGGTGGACATAGCGTGTCTATCTGAAGTGAGGTTGCCCGATCATGGCTCCCGCCGAATAGCCGTACCTGGAACAGATTCTTCATTCTGGTTGCTTCATAGTGGACCCCAGAATAATTCGGGACAACATGGGGTAGCATTTGCTCTCAGTAACAAAGCCAATAATGCCCTAATATCGTTCGAACCGGTCAACTCCAGAGTTGCAATCGCTAGGTTCAAGGGTTCCCCACTCGACATTTCTGTTCTCGCTGTCTATGCCCCAACCCTCGACTCTGATGAAAGTATCAAAGACGAATTCTATGACAATCTTCAAGGGGCAATCAACAAAATCCCAAAGCGTGACGTTCTCATAGTAGCCGGCGATTGGAACGCCCGCACTGGCCCTTCAGACGACGCAACAAAACATATACTAGGCAAACACGGTCTCGATCAGCAATGCCGTAACGGTGATAGACTTTTAGCTTTTTCTGATTACAATCGATTATATATCACCAACACTCGATTTCAACACCCTAGAAAACATCTTCTCACCTGGTATTCGAACGACGGTCGCACTGCACATCAGATTGACTACATCCTAGTGCGCTCACGCTGGATCTCCTCGGTGGAGGACTGCCGATCCTATCGTGGCGCAGAGGCCGGAAACAAAGGGGGATCAGACCATACTCTAGATCGGGCGAAATTCAAACTTCGTTTAACAACACGCCAGAAGGTGCGACCTCCGAAGCGTATCAATGTTGCCCCGCTTCAATGTTCGATAAAGCGACAAGCCTTGTCCAAACAAATCCAGGCCGAACTAAGCGCCGCAGATGAGCCAACATCCACATCTTCTAATACACCTGAGACACGATGGAATCATTTCAAAGAAGTAGTCTCTAAAGCTTCAATGTCGCATTTGGGTACCACATCCAACAAACAGAAAGACCGGATTTCAGATCATACTATGCATCTATCCTCGCAAGCCAGAGACGCTCGCCTAGCAAAGTCTCCAGTTTATCGCTCCCTCAGGCGCAAAGCTACACAGTCTGCTAGGAATGATAGAAATCGCTATTGGTCTAATGTGGCGACCAACATGGAAGGAGCATCAAATGTAGGCGATTTCGGAAAACTTTATCGCCTCATACGCCTATCATCTGGCAAACGCCTTAACAGCCATGCTGTGTTACGCACAGCATCAGGAGAAATTATTTCGGACACCAATGGCAAGATGGAACGATGGGCCGAACATTTCAAGCAGCTACTCAATCACAACGCTGGTCAACCTCCTCATCGACCGATACAACACATACCAACACCCTACGTAGTTGACTGCGATCCACCCACTCCAACCGAAATAGCTAAAACAATTAGCAGACTCAGGAACAAGAAAGCTCCGGGCGAAGATGGCCTACCTCCAGAAATATACAAGGCCTGCACTCCAGCGCTAATCGATTCGCTGCACTCGCTGTTCTGCGCAATTTGGGATTCCGAAACCATTCCTTCCGATTGGAGCACCTCAGTTTTGCTACCGTTCCACAAAAAGGGAGACAGGTCAATATGTGAGAACTACCGAGGCATAAGTCTGATTGATATCGCTGCTAAGGTTTTTGTCTCCATTCTCCTGAACCGCTTCGCTGCCGAACGCCACGTGCGAACAAGGCCAAATCAAGCCGGATTTCGACCTGGAAGAGGCTGTATTGATCAATTATTCACACTGCGAAGAATTTTGGAACACAGGGACAAATATCAACAGCCGACGGTTGCTTGTTTCATCGACTTCCGAGCTGCATTCGACTCAGTTGATCGAGGAGCACTCTGGTATCTAATGGAGCTCGACGGAGTTCCGACCAAGCTAATCAACCTGCTCAGGTCATACTACTCCAACACCAAAGCTCGAGTCCGAGTGAACGGTGAAGAGTCTCGCACTTTTGAGGTAACCAGCGGTGTCCGGCAAGGTTGTCCAGCATCCCCCATTCTGTTCAATTTCACAATTGATTGGATTTTGCGGCACGCCCTAACCGAGCACCACGGCGTCCAACTTTCGCCCGATATTCACATAACCGACCTCGAATTCGCCAACGACGTCGTGTTACTAGCTGAAAACTTTCCCGATATGCAACAGGCGCTCGATCAGATAAACCACCTCGCGTCTACCATCGGTTTGGAAATCAACACTTCCAAAACCAAAATGTTTTCGAACACATCCACCAGCAATGATGAAATCTTATACCTGAATGGAGCACCTATTGAAATTGTGCCATCCTTCAGATATATGGGATCCATAATGCTTCCCAACGGTCAAGCGAAAAACGAAGTGAATGCGCGGATCTCCAACGCCCGGAATGCGTTTCTTCAGCTGAGAAGCGTTCTATGGAGCAAGAGGGAAATCAGTCTCAGGACTAAAATTCGGGTTTACCAAGCCTCTATACGATCCGTTCTCCTGTATGGCTGTGAAACCTGGCCTCTTCGCGCAGAAGATGTACGCAGACTTGAGGTAGTAGACCATTGGTGCCTCAGGTACATTCTGCATGTTCGTTGGCAGGACAAACTCTCCAACGAAGAAGTGCGTCGTCGTTGCTACAACACCAACCAAATTCCAGTACTGGTCCAACAACGTCGCCTTCGGTGGTTTGGCCATGTTCTGCGCCGACCAGATGATGATCTGCTCAAATCAGTTCTAAATCCCTCGCCATTACCATCTTGGCGATGTCGCAGGGGTGGACAGCTGAAAACATGGCTCAGTACAGCCAAGGCTGATATGGAGTGCCTGGGGCTACAAACCGTCTACGGACTCCGTCTGTGGAACAAGAATTGGATAACCCTGTCGCAAAACCTTGCATCAGATCGCCGCGCCTGGGCAGCGATGATTCGAGATGTTCATGAAGCCGGCTCATCCTCTCGTAGGAGATAGCCGAAGTAAAGTAAAGTAAAGTAACCTACATCAATTATTTAAAAGCAAAGAATAAAGCGTGCTCCTTTAAAATTTTAACTACAGGCAGCACAAATAAGGGTACCAAACACAGGATAAGATTGGAAAAGGAAGAAAAACATTCATTACTCTGAAGTATGGCTGTAGAAATATGCTGCATTCGGTATGAGGAACAAAATGCGGATTTTCTACAGTACAGTCAAGTCAGTAAGTCCTTAAGCATTACCAACAGCCTGCTGCAGACTTTTATCTTCCCGTACTCGATATATATACTGGAAACCAGATGGGTAGCCGAAGCAAATGGAGAAACGTCGGACATACAGGCTGAGGAGACCGTTGAGTAACATCACAAATCAGGCCGTCAAGTGGAAGGTGAATGAGAAACGAGAACCACGTGAAATGTATATATATATATATATGAATATATATACATATACTGGACAGCTTATTGTGCAATGCATCACACAAGTCACCCTTCCATCTCTTTCCGAAAAATGCAGGAATATTGACTTTAGGTAATTAAATACATATATATTTTAAATAGAAAAATATATTAACAATCATATGTATGTATATATATTTGTATAGAGAAGTCCAGGATGACAGTCATGCTGCGCGCGCATTGATATCAGCATCATGTATTCAACTTTCTTTGAATATAAAACTGACGAGCTTGGCTTTGACTAACCTCCAGGATAATATTCAACTGATCGCAGATAGCCCGAGCTCGTGCCCATTGTGTTTCAAAGCACAACTGCTGAAATAAATTACTACTACTACTACTACTACTATTAGAAATAACAGTATTAGAAGAAATAGTAGAAATAGCAGTCGTCGGAATGCTGGCGCTAACACCAGTACCACTTGTATTGTTATTACTGCTAGTGTATACAGGTGAATCTTGTCCAGAGGGAATTGTAGCAGTGTAAGCAGGTGATGAAGAAGAAGACGTCGTTGGGTTGATCACCGGTTGATTGTTCACAGTTGATCGAGAAGTAACTGTAGTTGTTGTTGCTGTTGTCGTCGTCGCCGCCACCGCGACCGATAGAGCTGACTTCTGTCCACTGGCGCTACTAGTAATACTGGTCAACTGTGACATGATTAAGTCGGAGTATGACTTAAAATTCGGCTAATTGCATCGATATTCACAAAAGGAAAACAGAAAACCAAAAAAGAAAGAAAGAAAAGAGGCATTTAAAATGAGAAAAAATATTTTTTTAAGTGTGTATACAAGGATAACAAAACGCATAACAACACTTCAGTTTACTGTTAACACCAGGAAGAGCCCGACCGATAATCAGTTAATGTGACTAGTCTCTACTTAAAATCCAATCGCTTTTACAATCATAAAATATAAAACATTTATCATATTGGATCTTCAATATCGCACATTTTAAAAAAACAACCAATGAGTGAAATCAATGTATTCGACCAATTTTGTCAGTGATCATCTCTCATAACCTGATCTATATGTGCTGTTATTGATTTGTTCAAATTCACTAAAAGGAGTTCGTGTATGCAACCATCATTACATACCTAAACCATGAACTATATATGTGATGGCTTCAGTGTGTCAACAACACTCATTCATAAAAAAAACAAAATAACTGAGCAAAGAATATCCTTTTCGATAATTTCCTCTTCTGGCTGTACAATTATGCATATATATATATATATATATATATATGCATTATTCTAGAATAGTAGTCAACAACAATATTAGTTTTTCTTTCTAAATAATATCGATTTGTTAAGTAAGATCAATGGAATTACAGTTCATTGAAGATGCTTAAATTATAATAATTATAATAATAATAATAATAATATAATAGCGAATAGAATATCAAATAGAATTAAGGAAATTTCTACAAAACATTGAGGATCATTCGAACCTAGATGGCAAAAATAGGGACAATTTCTGAACTAGCTTCTTTTGCACACATAAATTAGATTTCTTAATGTGGATCTCATTCAGACATTTAGAAGACAAAAGAAAGTTCGAACAAAGAATATTCTAATTGATAAATACACCTTCCAGCTCTACAATTATATGAAGTTTATATACGCAAAATATTCTAGAGTAATCGTCATTAATAATATTTGTGTTTTCCTTGAAGTAATATCGATCAGTAAAATTACAATTCAAGAAAGATGCATAAGTGATAATGTAACGACAGAAGACAAGGGCCAGGCAACAGATTTTTATTGAGAAAATCAAGAGGTATTTTTAGATTTTTATGTACAGTATTGTTAGCGGAGAAACAACCTTTTCTGGTTGGTTGTTTTCTTGCTGAAGGTTATTCTGTGGCCGTTTCTCAGAAAATCAAGCCATATGTCTGCGAATCATATTTCCACACGTTAACTCCGCTGTGATTGGCTGGTGATTTTCTCAAGGTTACGCTTAGTTATTGTTTTTTCTCATGACCCTGATTCGGGTTGTGAACATTGACGTAAATTGTTGTCTACAATTTTGGGTTGCAGCCAGCTCTCACCACAATAATATTCATGGAAAATTCCCATTGTAACATATAGAAAATGAAAACAAGTGATTCAGCGAAGAGACTCTTTCCAACGAATTTATTATCAAGCCGTACAATCGTGTATACACAATTTTTAAGAAATTTTTATCCGGTGAGGGAATTGAATCATGAGTGTGAATACATGAAATAGTAATAGTATGAAATGCAAGTAAAATGTTTGTGATTATAATCGCAGTTAAATGTCAAGTGGTAAAATAACTAATGTCGTATATAGAACAGGTTGTATAGAAATTTGAAGGGATGTGAAATTATAGGATATGTAGGCAAATCGAATCAAATAAAAACGTTACGTAACATTAAGTGAAGTTTGATACTATAGAATTGTTTTGCCACTTGAAATTTAACTATGATTATAATCACAAACATTTTAGTTTTAATTGCATTTTATACTATTATTTTTATTTTATGTATTCGCACCTATGATTCAATTCCATCAGCAGATAAAAATTTCTTATAAAAAAATCCGTATATACATACGATTGTACAGCTTGATAAATAAATTCGTTGAAAAGAGTCTCTTCGCTGAATCACTTGTTTTGATTTTTTTATAAGTCATAATTAAGCATAAAAAATATGATTAGCAGATGAAATAAAGCAGAAAATTTATGCAACAAAATTGAGGATAGTTAATACCTTGATGATGGCCAAAGGTTGAAGTAAACTATTGAAGTGTAAAAATTAAGATTAGACTTTGAAAGTCTTGTTCACATCAATTTTGTGTTCTGTATCCATGAAATGAGATTGAATAAAGGTATAAATGATATTTGTTTATCCCTTGCACTCATGCATCCTTTATGAAAGGGGTTCCTTTTGAGATGCACAATAAATGTTCATTTCACAGACAAATTTGATGGTGTGCCGATTGGGTGACTACTGAGACCAATTCTAGCTGATATTTTCCTGGAAAAACTAGAGAATGGACCTTTGGAAGATGTTATTGGTGAAGTAGAATTCTACTGTCGTTACATAAATGACATCTCGTGGATACAGAACACAAAAATGATGTTAACAAGACTTTCAAAGTCATCTACGGGTATTCCAATTAATTTTAACTTTACCTCAAGAGTTCGTCTGTTACATATTTCTGAAACCGTCGGAATCTACATTAAGAAGCCTAATATATTATATACCCAAAATAAATTGATTCAGACGATTTCTTTACCTTAACCATCCACAACAGATAACTGCTACCTTGACGTGGTGGTCAGACTTGCATATCTCAACGGCTCAACAAGCTACACTGGCTGGAACTATTGTTCCTGCAGGCCCTACAATGACAGGAAGTTTGTTAGGATAGCGATTAAACTAAAAGCAGTTACTGTCATAGTGTAAGATTGTTTTACACTATGCTGGGGGTCTGTCTGTGAGCAAAGTGATAGTGCTGGGGAATAGAGATGTAACAGCAGTAAGGTATTTCCCTGAAATGACCGGCATGCCAGCCATGTTGTCTCTCCAATCTAGAGAGGTATGGTGTGGGTTAGAAGAAGTCGACCCCAAGAATTGTATATCCTGACTTACCCCACGGTGGTCGGCAGCCGGCGGTAAGTTTACTAATACGGGACCACACCAAACAGCCAGTTGAGCCAGGGAGTGTATGCCCGTTCTCGAGCAGTTGTCCTCTGGACTCTGAAGAGACGCAACACTAATTCTGTTTCTGTTTCAGGTACTGTAAGAAAAAATGAACTTCGACGGTGTGGATAGTCGGGAAGTGACAACCGCCCACACACTTCAAAAAGCACACGAAGCCTTGGTCATTGAGGTGCTAACTATCCTCAAATTTGTGGCATAAATTCTCTTCTTGATTTTATCTAATATTCTATCTACTTAGTTTAGCGTGATATTTTTCAGACTTATTGTAACTCAGGCATCTTTCTTGAACTCTAAGTCCATTGGTCTTGACAAATCGATAATATTTAAAGAAAACATAATTATTGTTAATGACGATTATTCTGGAATATTTTGTACCTATAAATACATAAAATTGTACCTCTAGAATATGAATTTATCGAATAGAATATTCTTTCCTCAAACTTTCTTTTGCCTTCCAAAAGTGTGAATGGCAATTTTCACAAAATAATGAATTCATTTTAGCCAGGTATAGAAAAGGAATAAACAAAACAAATCAGTATTTATGTATATAATAATAATAATACTGACACTACAACAACGACCACTACTACTACTACTTACAATGTAAACAATTCTAAATTGAGCTTTACGTGAAATCATTGACTTCGATGACTGTTCATTCACGTTTTTATTTGAGCTTTTAACACTGACAGATGCATCTGTAGATGTGATGTTGTCAGTAAGTGCACCACCACCACCAATACCACCGACTGTCAATGCACTACTACTGCTCATACTGATAGTTTTTGAATCATTGTTCCCACAACCAGATTTATTATCCACTCCACTGCCGGTAGAAAATCCAGAAGAGATTAATTCACAATCAGCAATTGCATTAATTTCTATGCTAATCGGTTTCATTATTTTTGAGAATAATTTTCGACGGGTTTTCGATGTACTTCCCTGTTCAAGTTTAACTTCATTCAGGGAAATATCTGTTTGATAAAAGTAAAAAAAATACATGAAAAGACATAGTTGGATTAGCGAAATAAGAAATAGATCACTGGACAGGTGTTTCGAGTCCTGGTGGAGTAGTGTAGTGGTCAAGGGTGAGCATTGCTTAAGAATTGCAAACTAGGGAAGCAATCGCTGTTGAGAGCGACCTGGGTTTCAATCTCAGTCGGTCAGTAGCGCATATAGTTTTGTGCAATTATGCTTGTTTTCTTGATTGCCATTCATGGATGGTATCAAGCATATTACATTCATCATGATCTGAATAGTTTCAATTTTACAACATGACTTCAACAAAAAAATGCCGTATTTTCGATAAATTTTCATCAGGCTTTACAATTACGTAATCAAAAATATCAGCCATAGATATTTGAAACAATCTGGACCAATAGAATCAAATGGAGATGGATTGGCCATACTCTTAGGAAACCATCAAGTGATATCACTAGACAAGCCATCGCTCGAGTGGAACCCGAAAGGGAAGCGGCGAGTTGGTCGTCAGTGCAAGGGTGACATGGAGGAGGTCATGTAAAGAGGAGATGAAAACATGTGGGCAGACATGGAGCCAGGTGAAGACTCTAGCAGAGAACCGAACGCAATGGAGACACACAGCTGAAGCCCTATGTTCCTCTACGAATTAAGGGATATAAAATTAATATTATTGATAATAATAATAATAATAATAATAATAATAATAATAATAATAATAATAATGGAGAATGTAAGTAGAATAATAATAATAGTAATAATAATAATAACCGGGATAACTATTTAATTCAATTTTTTTACATTTTCCCGTCGATCGATTGGCGTCTGAAACTATGGGCACTGGGTTCGAGTCTCGGTGGGAACATCACCACTCACCACGGAATGCAGGTACATCCAGGTGATGAGTCCCTAATAGGACGAAATGTGCATCCTGGACTTCACTGCTAGTCACCATCCACCAATTAACTTCTAACCGGGATGACTATTGTAATTCGGGGTTGAAGGCCATGGGAGGGAGAGGAACTGAACAAACTTCACCTCAACAGAAAAACTGGGGAGAAAAATTTTTTATCGCGATTGTCTCAGCTCTGCTTAATAATCGAAGACGTATAAACTTAGGGAATTGGGGTGCTACCATGTATAGAACTGTAAAAGCTGATTTTTTATAAATCTCGTGATCCGTATCCACAAGAAGTGCCAGTCAATATGGAACTCCTGGTCGACTTTACTACTCCTTTACCTAACCAAGATGGATAATCGTCACGGTCGGCTAACTGAGTCATTCTACTTATGTACCTATCAGTTAAATTTATAAATGTACATTGGAGTGGCCAGCCTTGGTAGCTTATCCTTCACCTGCATTGGAATTATTCAGCGAGTAGTGAAATTTAAACATACTATTGCTTCAAAAAATGTCTTAGTTTTCATTTTTCAGAGTTTCGATACCAGTAGTTTATTGGCTAGGTCTCCTTTAAACGGTAAAATCATGTATACATACGTTTCTTCTGTACAGTTTGCAGGCATTTCTCTCTATCTGTTCTCATTATGGAGACTTTAACAAATTTCCCTGGATATCCGTTCTCATACAATAAGTTTTCTATCTTCCTTATTTCATCGTCAAGAGTATAGGTTGTGTATTGTTTTCTAGAACAAAACATCAGGATACTAATGAGATTTCTCTTGTAAGCAAGAGGAACAAACAATCTGTGGTAAAATGGTCACCTCGAACTGTGTAAATTGCTTAAATTGCTAATTAATTCACAAAATTGAGAGCTAATTTGCAAATCTTGAGAAATTGATTCAGAAAAATTCCCACTGAAATCTTCTACTCTCTCTCTCTGATTGGTGGTCAAATAAAAGGTGATTGAAGACAATAACGGATACTGAATTTATCAGTCTGTGATGTAACCCAGTTGCGTAGAACATGTTTTCATGTCCAAAGCTACAATGGTTGATGTTACTATCCAATTTCCCAGGCTTAATGAAGTAGGATATCTGTCTCTCTGTCTGGATTCAACATAGAGCTTGGCACCGAAGTGCAGCAGTTCGAGTTGCCACGTTCCAAAAAGCACACAAAGGTAGACAAGAAGATGAGTGAAGAGAATCAATAGAGTTTTGAGAAGTATACGAGTGAAACAGAGTGAGTAATGGTAGAAAGGAATATGGAAGATTACAGAGACTGAATACATCTGCGTAAGTCATTGACAACGATTTTGAGCCATGTCACCTATTGTCTCCAGCCATTGATTTTTAGAGTCCCGAGGACCCCAACCCGGAAGTCTTCATCTCCCTACCTGACTCAGTTTAACTGTTAAGGATTTCATGGATTGACTGATGCCATGTTTTTGTTTGGCCACCACTTACTCTTTTCCAACCTGCACCTATATCAGCTAGTAATGCCAGTCGGGGGAGGCGATGGTTAGGCATGCGCAGCACGTGACCTAGCCATCTCAATCTATGTAACTTTACAGCCTCGTCGATTGATTTTCCCTCTTTGCTCAACACTCTACGCCTAACGTCTACATTACTTACCTTATTATACCACCTAACGCGAGAAAGAGATCGTAAACATCTGTGGTCAAATACAGAGAACCTTTTCTTGTCTTCCGCTCTCAATGGCAACGTCTCACCACCATAGAGAAGGATGGAGCGAACTGCTGAGCAGTACACACGTCCCTTGGTTGATAGTCGGACGTCACGCCCACGCCAGAGATGGTGTAAGTTAGCGAAAGCAGCCCGAGCTTTTTGGATCCGTGCTGAAATTTCGTCACCAATCAATCCGTTGGTGCTGATACAACTTCCTAAATAGGTGAAGTGGTCAACATGTTCTATCACTTCACTCCCTATCACTAAGCTAAGGGTAGACGTAGTCCAGTCCTGTAGCAGCATCTTACATTTTACAGGGGCGTATCACATGCCAAACATACGAAGATTGCTGCTCAAGGTGTTCAGCAGACTCTGCATTTCGTCAGCATCCTCCCCTAACAAGACTATGTCATCTGCATATTCTAAGTCCATAAGACTATTCCTTAGTAACAAGTCGATTCCTAAGTCGTTGAGTTCAGTTAAGGATACTTCCATTAGCAAATCTATGATGAAGTTAAACAGAAATGGGGAAAATGAAGTAGGATGGTGGAAAGGAATTCAAACTTGGCATCTATAGACTGAAAACCAAATACTTAAGCCAATGAAACACGTCTACCTGGATTGTAACACGTATCATTACAATACAAACAGTAAGATTAACAGAGTGACTCAGAGGAAGACAGATTAAACACTGACATACATAAGAACATCAGCCTATGGGATAATGAATTTTCGAAAGAAAATACAGTGCAAATAAGTCAGATTTACTAAACTAAACTTCTTGTTAATCAAGAGGACATCATCCTGTTGATTGACTCCATCAGGGATCTATGATGAAATTAAAGTGCACTCATACTTCTGTTTATTATCTCTCCTTCTCTCCTTGGGATCTCTTTTTACTCTCTTCTCTTTCTTTGTGTGCTACATAGAGGAAGTTTGTTAACTCGAACTGCTGCATATCTGTACCAGGTGTTACGTTGAAACCAGTCAGTCGATCAGTTAGTACCCATCACGCTAAGCAGTAGTATCTGTCATGCCTCTTGAATACCATTTATGCTACCAAGCAGATTACACAGGGGACCGAAAATACCTCCGGCAAACAGCACTACGACAAGGGCTCCTCATAGTTTTGTTCCTACCGATCCAACCTTTCGGATATTGGAGGATTTCTCAGAACAATCGATTCAGTAGGTATACACCTCGTAGGGTAATTGGAATATGCACACCCAAAAGCTATGTCAGCAATTATGAAATGTAAGTCTAATATTATTTTTTTTTCATAATAGCTCAAAAACATGTGTTCATACAAGCACTGAGTGCATTGAACAACAGTAAATTACGTGGTTAGCTATACCACTGCGACCTGCTTAGAACTTTGGCTATAAAAAAGCTCCATCATTATACTGCATATAATTTCCCTTGTTCACTTCGTTCTAATCGGTTAAAATATAACCTCTAATGGTATAATTTCCTCTCGGGAGTATTTAAAGTGTTCACAACCCGCTGATTCGCCAACTTCTACTAAACTTGAGAAAAAGCATCATCGTGGGAGGGGGGGGCAGTGTGTCCCAATACATGAGACAACTTCTAAACTTTGTATAATTGGCAAACGAAAAATCTCGCACGTTTCTCTAGGGAGACAAAGAAGAAATACCATAAGAGATTGATTTTTGTCTTCAGATCAGACAGTATTGTGTCATGAGATCTACTGTTAATTACTATTTTCTAGGTGTTGGTTTCCAGGGATTTGATTAGTTACAGGATTTATCACAAGCTGACATCGGTCAGAGAACCATTGGCAGAAATTGGAATTCATGGACTACTGGGTCTACGAGCTTGCCTTGCAACCAGAAGGTCTTGGTTTAGAACCCCAGTCGGTGCGTTCTGCCAGATAGTCCTAAACTAGGACGACACGGCTATTCAGTACTTCCTGCTGATTTCCAATGGTTTTCCAACTGATGTCAGCTCGTGATCAATTACTACTTTTTTTGAAGACCCTGTACGAAAAGTAACTATCATGCAACAAACTGAGCTGGAAATTCTGTACATCATATCAACATTGTCCAGAATACGTGTGTTATTACTATTACTATACCGTCTGGCTGTACACACTTCGGTATATGGATGGCATGACACTGAAAACCTACGATCCCTCTTAGTTGAATATCAGATTTCATAACTACACTTCCCTGTTACCAGTCTTCACAGAACAAAATCTGTTAACAGCTCTGAGGGAAAATGAACCAGGTATATCAATGAAAGAGGCATACACTTTATTCATAAAACACTTGTCTTACTTAATTGAACTTCACGTGGAAAAAGGCCTTTCAAGTATGTCACCTGATATTGTCTTAACTGTAAAGCTGTATGTACTGGTTCTGATGTATCTAACATTGGTGCAGAATCTATTTGTTCGATTGTTTCGATATCACCACCGTGTTCTGAAAGTGCTGGATCACAACGACCTAAATTAGATAGTTACAAACCAAAAGAAACAAACAAATAAATTTAGAAGAATAATGCGACAAACAGTGGGCAATGAGGAAACAGGCATAAAATGGACACACACAAGAAACTTGGAGGATCTGGACTTCGCCGATGATATATGTCTGATTTCCCACAAACTGGAAGACATGCAAACGAAAATCAACAAGTTAGCAGAAGAAGCATCAAAGATAGGACTTCAGGTGAACATAGATAAAACAGAGGTGATGAAAATTCCCGGGCAACACCACCAACAACAACAGACAACAATCAGCATAAATGGAAGGAACCTGAAAGAAACTACCTCCTTTACCTACATGGGAAGCATCGTTTCAACTACAGGCGGAACTGACGAGGATATCAAAGCAAGAATAGGAAAAGCAAGACAAGCTTTCACTACTCTCAAGTCTGTGTGGAGGTTAACAGCACTCAGCATCAAAAATAAGATCCGGATTTTCAACTCCAATGTGAAGTCAGTGCTACTATACGGATCAGAGACTTGGCGCGTCATAAAGAGCATCTCAAACAAACTACAGACATTCATTAACAGTTGTCTTCGCTCAATACTCAAGATCAGATGGCCGTCCAGAAAAGATTAGCAACAGGGATCTCCGGCAATGAGCGAACCAACCAGGAACCGATTGTGAAACAAATAGGTAGGAAGAAATGGAGATGGATTGGCCATACTCTTAGGAAACCATCAAGTGATATCACTAGACAAGCCATTGCTCGAGTGGAACCCGAACGGGAAGCGGCGAGTTGGTTGTCAGTGCAAGGGTGACTTGGAGGAGGTCATGTGAAGAGGAGATGAAAACGTGTGGGCAGACATGGAGCCAGGTGAAGACTCTAGCAGAGAACAGAACGCAATGGAGACGCACAGCTGGAGCCCTATGTTCCTCTAGGAATTAAAGGATACAATAATAATAATACAACTTGCTTTTCTTGGCTACTGAAGACATTAAAATATATTTTACTGCATATATACTTGATAGTTAGTGTTGAAAACAAGAGTTTATTCAGAAGGTGGGTTTGTCGGCGCCCTCACTGTTTTGAAGGATTGCAAAACAGAATGAAAGTCATTTATTAGTACTCCCTGGCTTTCAATAGCTCTCTGATTCACGTTGAATTGTAGCAAAATCGACCTTGATATCGATCACCAAAACCTCAAAAACCAAACTTCTGAATAACAATTAATTGCTTACCAGTGATTTCCTAGAGTTATGATGAGAAGCCGAAATCGTTGGGGTGCATCAATGGATAGAAGTGGTACTATATCGCGAATAGAAGAAGGTTAGAGATTATAGGTCATTGGATTGCAACACAGTGACTGAGTGGTAAATGCACCAGTCTCAAAACCTAAACGTTCCTGGTCAAACCATACGATGAGTACGAACTCTTGAAGAGTCTCAAAACTACGCTCAGTACACTCTACTCTAACTGATGTAGGTTTGTGAAAAAATTCGTCTTCGAAAAGTTCACCAAAAATAAGGCAGAAAAAGGGATCAGTGACTATGAAGCTGTCACTTTCCCTGTGTACCAGAAGTACGCAAACTTACTGTCAATTTTTTTTAATACGGTGCTATGATGATAGGGTTTCTTAATGTCTACACATGGTTGTAGCTCAGAGAGACGAAATGAGATCCAATCTTCCCCGTTTTCCGAGCGTAATATAGGAGGGTAGGCAATATTTCGGGGTACTTCAACAGGGAATTGAACACAAAACTTCAGTGTGGTTGGGGGGCATCCTAGCACTCAAACACAGAACAATTTTGTAGATTTACTGTGTGTAAATGGTGTAGTCCTATCAGGTGAAGACGCTGAATAAAAACAATTTCTTCTGAATACCTTCATCAGAAATCTCAATATGTTTGGTATGAAATTCGCCTGCATCTTTTTGTCTCATAATTCTCAACTAATAATCCATTTCCATGCACTGGAAGCAGAACTCCGCCCGAAACTAGCTAGATTCAGGCAAAACAAATCACGTGCAGATCAAACAGCAACTCTACGCATCATCATCGAACACAGCATAGAATGGCAGCCAAATCCTTGCCTCAACTTCATCGACTTTGAAGAGGCCCGCGACAGCGAATGCCACGAAGTAACCTGGCAACTGCTTCAACACTAAGGTGTGCAATAGCCAAGTCTCTTTCAACCTCATTCAACAGATATATAACAATGCTACATGTCAGGTAATTCACAAAGGTTAAACTCAGTGAAGCCTTTGAGTTCAAGAAACGAGTAAGACAAGGCTGACTGACTACTATCACCGATGATATTCTTCATTGTGGTAGATTGGATTTTGCGTCAGACTCTGGAAAGCGAGAACACAGCAATATGCTCAACCGACAAGAAGACTTTAGAAAATATGGACTTCGCGGATAAACTTTGTCAATGTCACACAAACGAGAAGACTTACAAGCGAAAGCCAACAGACTGGCTGAAAATGCTGGCAGCGAAGATAGGACTCCACGTGAACAAAGTGAAGACGGAGGTGAGGAAGATAACCAATCAACAGTAAGAAAACCAGCATCAATCACAATCAGTGGGAGAGATTTGATAGAGGTTACTTCCTGCCTTCACTTATCTAATATGCATCATTTCAACTAGAGCCAGTGGAACGCATGAGAATGGCAAAGCCAGCCAGCCAGAATCGGAAAGGCAAGATACGCTTTCATCAATCTGAAATCAATGTGGAAATCTACTACACTCCGCTGCACCATAAACAACAAAATTCGAGTTTTCAACGCCAATGTTAAGTCAGTCAGTCAGTCAGTCAATCCTTCTATATGAGTTGGAAACTTGGTTAGTGCGTCACAAAAAGCATTCCCCATAGTCAGATGCACACTTTTATCAACAGTTGTCTCCGCTAGGTCATTATTGAAGAACAGACGGCCGACCAGAAAGAATTAGCATTAAAAAACTCTGGGAACGTACTAACCAAGAGCCTGTTGGTCAACAAATATACCGGAACGAATGGTGATGGATCAGACAGACGCTGAGGAAACCATCGAATGACATCACGTACCAGGTCATCGCTCGAGTGGAACTCGAATGGGAAACGAAAAGTGGGGCGTGGGTCTGAGAGTGACACGGATGAGATCATATGAGGATAGATGAAAGCTTGTAGGCAATCGTGGGACCAGCTGAAGCGGACCGCAGAGGATTGGACAAAGTGGAGATTTCTTGTTGGGGCCTTATGGTCCAGTCGGAACTCAAGAGAACAATAAATAATGTTTTGTTCTGCAAATGTACTTTGTGCAAAAACTGATCAGAATTTCAGTAGAATAGACAAGGTCATAATTAATTTTAACAAACATGAATATACTTACTGCTTTCTCGAACAAGAAGAAAGTGTAAAGGCAGTCCAGCTGAAATAAAATAACTCAATCGTTGATTTAAATCTAATTGTGAATTTTTATTTTTGAACTGTGTATTAGTTATATTTGACAGGAAAGTGCTACCACCACCAACTTTTGGGCAATTTGTTTGTTGATCTGTATTTCTTGGCCATAGTTCCAGTCGATAAGCATAACCACCGTGTTGACGTAGTCGACGACGATAGACAGCACGTTCTAGAACTGCACTTAAAAGCGTATCTGATGGAAAACGGAGTACACTCATCCCTTGAGCCATATGTCTATATAAGGAAAGAGGAGAAACCACGGATAGGAGTTGTAAACAGTATGTATATATACAAACTAAGACTTGAAAATTAACCTGATGCTCAACAGTAACTGACTACAGGATAAAGTTGTCAGGAGTCCTACTGAGAATTCGTGACTGACGAGGTCGGGTGTGAGGCCAAAGATTTGCCAATGACACTGGCCAGAGGTCACCGGTGAATTGACAGAAGTTAAGATTCTCATGTATCTCCTAACCTGAAGGTTTTTGGTCCAATCCCTGGTGATGTCACAGGCGCATACTAATGAAGAGTTCCAAACATGAGCGAAACGGTTTTCCAGTACTTTCAGCTGGTTTTCAATGATTCTCTGACTGATGTCAATGATTGGTGGGCAAACTTAAAACCAATGAAATCCCTACAAACCAACACTTGGAAGTATTCAAAAGACAAAGGAAGTTCGGGCTAGGAATATTCTTTTCGATGAATCCGTCGTCCAGCTCTACAACTGTATATATATATATATATATATATATATATATATATATATATATATACGAAATGTTCTAGAATAACCGTCATTAAGATCAATAGATTTACAGTTCAAGAAAGATTCATAAATTATAACGAGCATAAAAATATAATGCTAAAGTAAACGGGAAGGCGAGAAACACATTCATCAACCTGAAACCAATCTGGAAATCTTCGTTACTCTACATCAACAAAAAAATTCGGATTTTCAATACAAACGTCAAGTCAGTTTTGCTATACGGATCAGAAACTTGGCGGGTCACAAAGAATATTTCCAACAGGTTGCAAACCTTTATCAACAACTGCCTTCGCTCTATACTGTGCGTCGGTGGCACAGTGGTTAGGACTCTCGCCGACCATGCACATGATCCAGGGTTCGATCCCCTGCCGACGCACACCCGATATCTATGGTTGGCCTGCGAAATTTGGGCTACCGATATCCATGCTGAAAATTCCATACTTGTACTGAAAATACGGTGTGGCTGTAATCAAAAATTTAAAAAATTAAATTAAAATCAGATGGCCGGAAAGAATCACCAACAAGAAACTATGGGAACAGACAAAACAAGAACCAATCGCCCAACAAGTATGCGGGAGAAAGTGGAGATGGATTGGACACTCGCTGAGGAGGCCACTGGGTGACATCGCGCGTCAGGCCAGTGCTCGAGTGGAACCCGAAAGGTAAGCGGCGAGTGGGACGTCTAAGGGTGACATGGAGGAGATCGTGTGAAGAGGAGTTGAAACAGTATGGATTAACATGCATGCAAGTGAAAAGTACAGCAGAAGACAGAAGCAAGTGGAGACATGCAGTTGAAGCTCAAGGGAACCCAAGGGAACAATGATAATAATAATAAAGTAAACGGAATATCAGATAAAATCAAGGAAACATATGCAACAAATTTGAAGATAGTTAACACCTTGACGATGGCCAAGCTAAGGAAAGCGTCTGAATCAACCACTTTTGGATATATAAGATGTTAAGATTCTTAATATGGATTCTGACGTCATCAGCAATATGTTACAGATGAACTTTTGAGGTGAAATTACGATTGATTGGAATACGGCAGATGAGTTTGAAAGCCTTGTTAACATCAATTTTGCCTTCTATATCTACGACATGACATGGAATAGAATTATGAATGGATTTTGTTTGTCCCTTACTTAACTCATGCATGATGATGTTCAGAAATCCAACGATAAACACATCTACTTGTACAGGCCTATGTAACTGGCCCCACAGCAGCAGTCAGACTGATAGATACACATAGAAGAAGCAAAATTAGGTAACTTCCTAACGTAAACTAGGGGCGGTTTTTGAAGGGGAAGAGTACTTCAGCGGCATTGAATGCTCTTTTTACTTCATTTTTAAAGTGTTGTATTATTGAAAATAAAGAATTGTTAAATTGCAAAAAATGATAAGATTGAAACAATTTTTCGATGCATAAACACCAAGGACAATAGTGAGCAAAGAACATTGCAAAGTTACTTTAATTCAGCTACCAATTACAAGTCACACATACATACAAGCTGTAGGTCATTAGTTTACATGACCAATTCTAAATTCAGATGTAGTGTATGCAAACTTTGTGCCTACGAATGAAGCTTGAACAAGTACCTCTTATGCAAGTAACTGGTATTATTATTATTGTTCCCTTGGGTTCCTAGTGGAACATAGGGCTTCAATTGCACATCTCCACTTGCTTCTGTCTTCTGCTGTTTTTTTTCACTTGCATCCATGTTAGTCCATACTGTTTCAACTCTTCTTCACACGATCTCCTCCATGTCACCCTTGGACGTCCCACTCGCCGCTTCCCTTTCAGCGATAACTGATAACTTACACTTTTTATTTCAAGTATATCAAACACACAGTAAAACTGTATTATCCACTTGAGAATACTTTCAAAACACAATTCAATTGTTCATTGTCATGTTGAGATTAGAAATAAACTGTTTGAAATGTATACACAACTATGCAGTCACAACAGTTAATTTTTAACTGCTATGTAGCACATTTGGTCTACTGAACAAGAGGCTAAGAGTTAGACCAACTTATAACAGATACATATTAGATCACCATTTGTCAAAAATTAAGTAGTTTGGAGGTGTAAACCGAACTTCCATAATTATATTTCACTGTTATTCTTTCCTTGGGTTCTAAGCATAACATAGAGCTTCAACAGCACATCTCTACTCCTTCCATCACCTCTGGGTCTTTAGAAGCTCTCATCCCCTCCTCACACAGCCTCTTATATGTCACCGTCAGATACCCGGTTCGTCGTTCCCCATTTGGGTTCCCATTTAAGGCCTGAAGCGCGATTTCACGTCTTCCTCATCCATTTCCATTTTCTTCGGCACATTTGCTGACCAACAGGCTCTTGGTTAGTACGTTCTCAGAGTTTTTTTAATGCTAATTCTTTCTAGCCGGCCGTCTGGTCTTCAGTAATGACCTAGCGGAGACAACTGTTGATAAAAGTGTGCATCTGACTGTGGGAAGTGCTTTTTGTGACGCACTAGCCAAGTTTCCAACTCATATAGAAGCAGTGACTGACTGACTGACTGACTTAACATTGGTGTTGAAAATTCGAATTTTGTTGTTTATGGTGCAGTGGAGTGTAGTAGATTTCCACACTGATTTCAGAGTGATGAATGTAGGTGTTGCCTTTCTGATTCTGATTTTGACATCCTCATTCATGAGGTGTGCCTGTAGTTTAAACGATGATGCCTAGGTTAGTGGAGGAAGTGACCTCTATCAAATTTCTCCCCTTGATGGTGGTTAGTGGAACTTCCATGGCTTTCAAAAATCGATCGAGCACAGTGAAAATTTCAGTGATAATATCTGAACCACTATTGTGGAAGTAGTTTTCAATATGCACGAATGGCTAGTGGGAATGGGCCTTCTGGAATCACTATACATACCTATTTTTAGCGATTAAAGCTTTTAAATGGAAAGAATGACTTATGCAGGAAAGAAAAAAAAACATCTATAAACTTACATTGTAACTAGTACACTTGTCACCTCTGCTTTCGATTGTTCGTGTAAGGATGTTTCAACTCGTTCAACAAGAGCAAATGATTCAAATTGATACTTATGAATCGGATCATTCAATTCAAGTGGTGGAAATTCTGAGTCAACATCTTCATCATCATCGGATGTATCAAACATGTACAAGGCAAGTCGATCTAAAAATGATCTGAGTTCATAGAAAATAACAATTTACTCATAACACAAAAAGCAAAACAAAACAAAACAAAACAACATCAATAGACGGAACTTTCAGGTAAACTGAACAAACTACTAATAACACGTGCATTTCCCTTGACTGTGGAATCCCGAATGCAATGTCCATTTCGTCCCATTTGAGATTCGCACCCAGTCATTTTTTTTCTCCGAACCCATTCTATATACTTCGAAAATGCCACATTTATTATAGTCGTATCAATGTGAATACCCCATGTTATTTTGTGATCAAATGAGTTATATACCCCCCACCCCAGTTAGATAATGTTATCCTTATAGTAGTACAGTCGTAAAACACTACCAACGAATGCCGAGAAGAGAAAGTTATGTGATCTTTTACAATACAATGCCTATCTTCCAATCAACAATTCTGTGTCCAGGATCCTTAAAAGAAGGATATAGCAACAGATGAGTAGCTATTTGATAGACAAATACAACCAAACGAGTATTGAAATGAGATAATAAACGTTTGCGGATAATCAACACGTGTTACTCCTAAATTACCTTCTATGTACTAGAGGTACAATATTGGCGATATCGGGCTATCGATCAAAAGATGTGTGTACTCCTCAGCAGTTCGCTCTGTCTTCCCTTACGGCTGTGAGACATGGTCATTGCAAATAGATACGAAAAGGCTAACTGTCTTTGATTATAGGTGCCTCCGTTCTATCTCCCGCGTCAAGTAGTAAAATAGTGTGAGCAATAATCAAGTTAGGCAAAGTGTTAGATAAGAAGGGAAAGTCAAAAAATTAGCCTGTAAAGCTACATTGATTAAGATAGCTATGAGATGTGTTACGCATGCTTAGCCACCGCTTTCCTCGACCGGTGGGCAATGTAAGCTGACATACGATCAGGTGGAAAAAGAGCTAGTGGTGGTCAAACCAAAACATGACTTCATCAGTCAATGAAATCCATAACAGTTAGTATAAGCCAGCCACGTAGGAAGGTACAGACTTTTTGGCTGGTTGGGGCCCTCGGGATGGTAAGAACTGATGGCTAGAGACAACTGGTGGTGTGACTCGAAATCGTTCTCAATGGCGCAGATGCATTCACTATTTGTGACTTGTCATATCCAATAAAACTCCATTGTTCTTCAGTATTACCATTCTTTTCCTCTCACACTTCAGTTTCTTATCTTTCTTTTGAACTTTTCTAGACTCTCTTCTCTTGCTTTTTGTGGTACATGGAGGCAGATTGGCAACTCGAAGCGCTGATGCAAATATGTGCAAAGTTCTACGTTGAAACCAATCAGTAAATCAGAAAACAGGGTAATAGAGGTGCAAACATAGAATATTGATCCACTACACCCAACTACTTTACAATGAAACTATTGCTACGGTGGCGTGAGAAGTGATTCACAGTGAAGTCAAGAATACCGTTCCTGGATTCGCCACACATTTTCATTCACAAAGACACAGGTGATTTCCGAAAAATACCCATAAAGACATTGAAATAAGAACAACTTAGTTCAGCGAAGAGTCTCTTTTCGGCGAATTCATTCACTTAGCTGTACAGTCGCAAATATATACAATTAATTTTGTGTGTGTGTGTACATTAGGTTTGTCAAAATCAAAATCAAAATAACAGTTAGTGTGGGTTGTTGATTACATCATCAAAATAATAAAGAAATTAAAATGTGTGATTAATAATCAAAGTTGTAACTAAGTGGGGTGAAGATTGGTAAGATGTGAGTAGGGTTACGTAATATAGACATGTTTAGAAAGATTAGATGTTAGTGAAGGAGTATGGAGACAATTATGAAAATAAACTAGATAATAGGTGAAAAGATTGAATGGGTTAGTTACTAAAAATTATTATACGAAAATTGCAAAAAATTTGATAACAAAATGTTGATGACAGATAAACTTGAAATTAAACCCACGGTAGTAGGAGGGGGTGGAGAAGTTTCTTCTGTGTGCATAAATCAGGCTTTTCTATCCAAATCGCTAAGGCTTCGGCAATACAAAGTATACGGAAGCTTGTCGATTTTGGAAGGCTTCTTTTGACTTTATAGATAACTTTGAACGACTTCTCCTTGCAAATCGAATGACCAGTGTTGAGTATATGCTCAATAATGGCGCTCCTTATTGTTCCGTTGTTACCTTTCCGTAGCCAGGCGGGATAGTGTTCTTGAACTCTTTTAGATAAAACTCGCATCGAACGACCTATATACCTCGCTCCGCAAGAGCAGGTGAATTGGTAGATACACATGGAAGTGGTCAAATGCGATAGTTTATCTTTAGAGTAGTTGAAGAACAATGGCCGGGAGGAAAATGTCAGTCGTAGTGTGGCAGCGAAGAATGTCTTTCTGAGAGCAGTAGATATCCTCTTCTTCAAGGTGTCAGCCAGAAGGTCACCTTTGAAGGGTACATTCATGTAGACCATCTTCTTCTGCACTGTAATGGGTTGTTCTTTGTAAGTCTTAGGCTTAATATGCTTGTCTATAAAACGGGGTGGGTAGCCATTCTCGAGCAGTGTCTTCCTTAAGAGGGCGATCTCTTCCTCTATTGATTCAGGACTGCAGATTTTTCGGATTCTAGTCGCCAGAGATATTATCAAGTTTCGCTTGCGACTAATTGGTACCCAACTGTAGAAGTTTGTCAACTGACCGTTCCATGTAGGTTTTCTGTGTACTGATCTGTTCAAGGTACCATCGGTCTTCTTACTTAAACGAACATCCAGAAAGGAGATTGTCTCTTTGGTTTCTACTTCGATTGTAAATTTGATGGCGGGGTGGCAACTATTGAAGACTTGAAGAACAATATTTTGATCACAATTGTTATCGCAGATGACGAAATTATCATCAACATACCTTTTGTATAAGAAGAATTTGTCGATGGTTGCTTTCAGCGGACCGTTTTCCAAACTTGCCATGAAAATATCAGCCAGCACCGGACCCAAAGGTGATCCCATCGCCACGCCATCTTGTTGTCTATAGAAGTTCCCATTGAATGTGAACTGGACATTTAGGGTACATCTGAGTAGGAGTTCTTTTAGCTTGGTAGTAGGTATTCCAAGATTCAGGTTGTTTTCTTCCAAGTATTTGCATAGAAAACAAATCGTCTCAGTGATAGGGACGTTTGTAAAGAGAGACTCGACGTCGAGTGAAATCATACGTTTGTCTCCCACTTTAACATCTTTGATACAATCGATGAATTCAAAAGTATCTCGAAGAGAATGTTTTGAAATTCGTTCTCTAACAGGTTGTAGGAGTTCTGCTAGCCATTTCGCTATTGGATGATACGGAGATCCCGACATGTCCAAAATAGGGCGCAGTGGAAGACCCTGTTTATGAGTTTTTGGCAATCCGTATAGTCGGGGTATTATTGAACCTGTAGGTCGAATGCTCTCGAAGACATTTTCAGAGATAACTTGATCAGTTTTTAGCTTTCTCAAGATCTCAGTTAGCTGTTTTTCCGTTGCCTCGGTTTTGTCTTTCTCTTTTTCGAATACTGAGAACTTGTTGTTGTCTGAGAGAATCGCCACCATTTTATTAATATAATCTTTTCTATCCATTAAGACTATGCCTGTACCTTTGTCAGGGCGTGTGATAAGCAATTCTTTGTTCTGCCTCAGTTGGTTGAGTTGTTCTCTATGCTCTTTGGTCAAAAGATTGTTGAACTTGGACTTTGTATTGAGATACTGTTGACAGGAGTCTAGAATAGTAGACTTAAAATGTTTGAATTCTTCTTCGGAAGCTGGGACAAGATCAGTAGTCTGATTGATCAAATTTTCAAACTCGACATAGGTATTGAGCTGGCTTATGTTTGAGTTCATGTCGCAAAATCTTGGCCCGAGAGACAAGGCCACCCATTGTATTCCAAATAACGTTACTGAAGCATAATTGAATATAAATTTGGTGGGATCTTCTGGAAACTTGCATCGTGTTTCTGTAGGTGTGAGACTTTTCAATAAGTGAGAATCCATCCATTCTAACTTATTGAAAAGTCTCACACCTACAGAAACACGATGCAAGTTTCCAGAAGATCCCACCAAATTTATATTCAATTATGCTTCAGTAACGTTATTTGGAATACAATGGGTGGCCTTGTCTCTCGGGCCAAGATTTTGCGACATGAACTCAAACATAAGCCAGCTCAATACCTATGTCGAGTTTGAAAATTTGATCAATCAGACTACTGATCTTGTCCCAGCTTCCGAAGAAGAATTCAAACATTTTAAGTCTACTATTCTAGACTCCTGTCAACAGTATCTCAATACAAAGTCCAAGTTCAACAATCTTTTGACCAAAGAGCATAGAGAACAACTCAACCAACTGAGGCAGAACAAAGAATTGCTTATCACACGCCCTGACAAAGGTACAGGCATAGTCTTAATGGATAGAAAAGATTATATTAATAAAATGGTGGCGATTCTCTCAGACAACAACAAGTTCTCAGTATTCGAAAAAGAGAAAGAGAAAACCTAGGCAACGGAAAAACAGCTAACTGAGATCTTGAGAAAGCTAAAAACTGATCAAGTTATCTCTGAAAATGTCTTCGAGAGCATTCGATCTACAGGTTCAATAATACCCTGACTATACGGATTGCCAAAAACTCATAAACAGGGTCTTCCACCGCGCCCTATTTTGGACATGTCGGGATCTCCGTATCATCCAATAGCGAAATGGCTAGCAGAACTCCTACAACCTGTTAGAGAACGAATTTCAAAACATTCTCTTCGAGATACTTTTGAATTCATCGATTGTATCAAAGATGTTAAAGTGGGAGACAAACGTATGATTTCACTCGACGTCGAGTCTCTCTTTACAAACGTCCCTATCACTGAGACAATTTGTTTTCTATGCAAATACTTGGAAGAAAACAACCTGAATCTTGGAATACCTACTACCAAGCTAAAAAGAACTCCTACTCAGATGTACCCTAAATGTCCAGTTCACATTCAATGGGAACTTCTATAGACAACAAGATGGCGTGGCGATGGGATCACCTTTGGGTCCGGTGCTGGCTGATATTTTCATGGCAAGTTTGGAAAACGGTCCGCTGAAAGCAACCATCGACAAATTCTTCTTATACAAAAGGTATGTTGATGATAATTTCGTCATCTGCGATAACAATTGTGATCAAAATATTGTTCTTCAAGTCTTCAATAGTTGCCACCCCGCCATCAAATTTACAATCGAAGTAGAAACCAAAGAGACAATCTCCTTTCTGGATGTTCGTTTAAGTAAGAAGACCGATGGTACCTTGAACAGATCAGTACACAGAAAACCTACATGGAACGGTCAGTTGACAAACTTCTACAGTTGGGTACCAATTAGTCGCAAGCGAAACTTGATAATATCTCTGGCGACTAGAATCCGAAAAATCTGCAGTCCTGAATCAATAGAGGAAGAGATCGCCCTCTTAAGGAAGACACTGCTGGAGAATGGCTACCCACCCCATTTTATAGACAAGCATATTAAGCCTAAGACTTACAAAGAACAACCCATTACAGTGCAGAAGAAGATGGTCTACATGAACGTACCCTTCAAAGGTGACCTTCTGGCTGACACCTTGAAGAAGAGGATATCTACTGCTCTCAGAAAGACATTCTTCGCTGCCACACTACGACTGACATATTCCTCCCGGCCATTGTTCTTCAACTACTCTAAAGATAAACTATCGCATTTGACCACTTCCATGTGTATCTACCAATTCACCTGCTCTTGCGGAGCGAGGTATATAGGTCGTTCTATGCTAGTTTTACCTAAAAGAGTTCAAGAACACTATCCCGCCTGGCTACGGAAAGGTAACAACGGAACAATAAGGAGCGCCATTATTGAGCATATACTCAACACTGGTCATTCGATTTGCAAGGAGAAGTCGTTCAAAGTTATCTATAAAGTTAAAAGAAGCCTTCCAAAATCGACAAGCTTCCGTATACTTTGTATTGCCGAAGCCTTAGCGATTTGGATAGAAAAGCCTGATTTATGCACACAGAAAAAACTTCTCCACCCCCTCCTACTGCCGTGGGTTTAATTTCAAGTTTATCTGTTATCAACATTTTGTTATCAAATTTTTTGCAATTTTCGTATAATAATTTTAGTAACTAACCCATTCAATCTTTTCACCTATTATCTAGTTTATTTTCATAATTGTCTCCATACTCCTTCACTAACATCTAATCTTTCTAAACATGTCTATATTCCGTAACCCTACTCACATCTTACTAATCTTCACCCCACTTAGTTACAACTTTGATTATTAATCACACATTTTAATTTCTTTATTATTTTGATGATGTAATCAACAACCCACACTAACTGTTATTTTGATTTTGATTTTGACAAACCTAATGTACACACACACACACAAAATTAATTGTATATATTTGCGACTGTACAGCTAATTGAATGAATTCGCCGAGAAGAGACTCTTCGCTGAACTAATTTGTTCTTATATCACATGTGATTTAGATAGCAGAGATGTTATACCTTAGCAAGAAAAAAGGCTTACCAGTCTATTCCAGTGAAAATTATGTTTGCTTTTTTCTATATCTCCAGATTAAAGATCTTAGACTTCTGGATCGACTAGAAACGCTTAATACTATGTCTTCCTCGAAATCTTATAGCCTTGATGTTTGAATTTTATTCTATCGTGGTGATTGACTATTTCTATTGTTGTATTGTTTAAATGGTCATTATTGTTTATTTCTCTTTATTCTATGTACAAAATACGAATGATCCATGCCAATTAATAATAATAATTTATTTTATTCCAAAAACAGTACTTGTGATACAGAATGGAATTTTCAGCATTAATCACAATATTGCATCTAATTCCCTCAAATTATAAATAAAATTAATCACACAGAAAATTTTTCCACATTTACAATACGGTTAATATAAAAAATTAAAAAATAAAAAACATGCAGCATATAAAATAGAAATAATAATAACGATAGCAGCTAAGGTAATGATAATAATACAAGTGGAAATTGCCGTGGGCTTGTTTCACACAGTATTGTCGATGCGGTATACAAATCCTTGCATGATTAAAAATATTGAATATGATGTTCTCTTTACACGATATGGTGAGGGAATGTTTGACTTCTGGCTTCTCTGTACTGTTGTCTCATTTACTGATATCCAGCTTATTTCGAATTAATATTACAGATAAGTAGTATTATTACGGCCACCTTTGTTTCTTTTACATAATTGTTTACAAATACCCCACAGTGAAACTAACCCAGAAAAAAAAATTGATTAGAAAACACAAACTTGGCATATTACGGGCAGCAAGGGACCGCATAGTGCCTGCAAGGGCTGAGATACTGCTCCAGGCACCCAGACCGAAGCAAGTGGTTATCTTGAGAGACCTCAACCTGAGTCTTTGACTTGATCCACAAGGCGGTGGAGCTGTATTCCTATAGTCGCCAGTGACCAAAACAAGTTCCCAAACCATTCGATCCCTTGTGATTCTGAAGCCCATGCACACCATAGGTATAGAATCAGGGTTTTCTGGCCTCCCTCCACCAGTCCAGTTGCAAGCGCCAGATGATCGCATTCGCCGTTTCCCCATTGTGAGGAACACTAACACCCACCCCTTAGCCTTGTGAATGCAGTGAATAGGACTTACATGGCAGAGGCTATGGACGCATGGCCACGTGAAAGCATTTCGAAAGGAAGACTGAAGTCCACCACCCTCGGACGTACCAAGTCTTTTGTGGGGGCAGTGAAACTAACAGAAGTATATATACAAATATAAACTTGTTCTAGAAGGAACAGACAATTCGACATCATACATACAAAGCTTACTCATCCAGTTGATCCAAACGACTTGATAAATGAGTATTATCACTACCAGAAGTTGAAAACTCATTAATATACTGCCATAAAGTAAGTCCTATAAATTGTTGTACTGTAGTACCAAGTCGCGGTTGCACTTTAATTAACGTCCGTGGAAATCCATTGAGTCTCCATAACCACACATTGAACTGGCGTAGAGGAGAGTCTGGATACATATTGAAAAGACAATCTTCTGAAGGACGCTGGTTCTTACTTAGTACTGATCGAGCATCATAAACAGCGAAGTCAGAAAATATTTTATTTCTTTTTAGTTGTCCACTTAATTTAGCTTCTTCCAGGGCTAATGTGAGTGCTGATTTAAATGGTTCACTTGGTTTATTTGTTCGAATTATTGGTTTTGCAGGGAAATATTTGTCTATTTCCTCAGCTAAACGAATAACAACAAAATAAGTAAATAAATAATAACAAAGGTAGTATAACAGTAACATTCATCCAGTGATAGGATAAACACATATAGGTCTAGACATATAGAATGATGAATACATCTCAAGTGATGTATGGCGCATTCAAAACCTCATCGACTGACTATCCATCCTAACCTAACAGTCTACACCTGACCTCAATATTACTCACCACATGTCATCTAACATTGGAGGTACAACGTAAATACCTATGGTCAAAGACAGATGGCCCCTTTATATCTTGCATTCTTAACAGCCATGTCTCATGAGTTAAAAGAGAACAAGACGAAATGATGAGCAGTGCATATGTCTATTGGTCGATAGCCGGATATCACATCTACACCAGAGATGATGTGAGTTAGAGAAGTCCACATGAGTCTTCAATATGCGTTCTAAGATTCCTCAAAAACTAGTCGATTAGGATTGAAAAAACTTCCCAAATAAGTGAGGTGGTCAACAGGCTCAATTATTCTACTCCCTATTTTCAAAACAGGACTCGGTGCAGACCAGTCCTCTAGAATGGTGTTATATTTGATGAAGGTGAGTCACATACTGTAAATATTCAGATTTCTGATCAAGGTGTTCGGAGGGAACAAGATTTATTTAGTGTCTTCACCTTAAAGGACTAGACTATATACATACTATAAATCAACAATACTATAACCTGACAACTATTCAGTCCCTATGTCTCTAAAATCAATTAGGGTCACATCTATTGGCACATACATGAATAAATCAAATTATAGTGGAGAGATAAGATATTCCCGAAAGACAACATGGATTTTTTTATTTCAGGTGACAGCACCCCTTAATTAGCATAGCACCAATCAACCGGAGTCAAGAACCACCTTCACGTTATAAAATATGGAACGTTTTGGTGTGTCGAAATGTGAAGATATGATCAATACACCTCCCTCCGACAACAAGGCCTGCTGGATTTCCACTGATTTGTCTCTTCTTAGGACCTCTTAGTCTACGCAGGATTAATCAACCTAGAATTTCAGATACTATGTTTGTCAAGCTGATCACCCTATCATTACTACAGGAGGACTTGTTTGCTTCTTATGAACTGGGACAATCTGTGATTTGCGGCAGTTTAGCGGGATTACCTTAGATTCCTAAACACTACTTAATCTCATGACTAACCCAGGTAACAGTTCATCACCACCTGCCTTAAACATCTCTGGGGTCGAACCATCAGGCCCTGCTGCTTCGCCAGCCTGAAAGGGATTTAAAATAGGTCATTGCACAGAAGTACAACAACTCACTTTTCCATAATGTATATAGCACACAAGGGCAGAGAAAAGAAGCTTCTGCGACCTCAGTTACCAGTCAGGGGACCAATATCTATATCCCATTAAGGTAGCTGTTGAGTGCTGAGAGAATTTAGGGCGACTGTATGACAGTTGGACTACTCCTCACTGTCCCCTCCATGAATACATAGTTATTTGAACAGAATCGTAAGAGGACCATCCTTGTCAATCAGTCGGTATGGGACGTCATTAATACACATTTCTAACTGACACGGCTTCCCTACGTAAGTAATAATATCTTCCATATCTCTGGTGATTGCGTTGAGTCACTTATATTGCACATGTTGGGTGTAGACTCGATGGACAAGGATTCAGAAATCAACCTCTCTCTCCACCTACTTCTTAGAATTTTAACCCTCTCCCACCCTATGGTGTGGTTATGTGTTAATGCATGCAGTGCAATTGCTGAGTTTTTTCTGAATTACTTATCTTTGTGGGGTAAATTATTCTAAACTTAGCTAAATTCTTATGTTACAGATCTACTAGTTTGACCTATGTAGTTGAACTTGCAGTCATTGCAAGGTATTTCGTAAATTATATTATTTTGTCTAATTGGGTCCACCGGATCCTTTAGCTTACAGAGCTTGTCTCTGAGTGAGTTTGTAGGTCTGAATGCCACCCCAATTCCTGCTTTATTCAGAATCCCACGTCGGGCCTCAGGTGTCTTCTCCCTATATGGTAAAACTGTAGATACCTTATATTCCTTCTTATTTATGTTATCATAATTAGTTTCACCGCTATTTTTATTTCGCTTTTTCCCAATTTCGATCTTGCTAACGTATTTTATAGGATAGTTATTTAACACCAACGCTTTTTCTATCCGTTTCATTCCATCATTTAGGTCTTTTTTGTACTACTTATTGCTTTTGCTCGGTTTGTTGGACACCTAACTAAGCCTGCCTTAACAGATAACGGATAAGATGAATTAAAGTCTAAGTAATTGAGAAGCCAGAGATATGTTCTGTTTTTGATAATGAGAAAGTGTCATCCACATATCTTCACCATATCTTCGGAGGAGGATTAAATGTACTAGGAGCAGTATATTCCCCGCTGTCCATAAAGATATCTGCTACGATAGGAGATATTGGTGATCCCATTGCTACACCTTCTGTGTGTCTATATATTTTGCCTTGGAATTTAAAGACAGTAGGTGTGAGGTATAAAAATGAATTCCTAAAATAATTTTCTCAGTGATCAGCTTTGTCCTACGACTAAGTTCGGGATCAGGATTTAGTTCTCTTTTAACTGCTTCTAAGGCCATATTGATTGGTATATTAGTGTAAAGACTAGTTATATCAAAACTAATCATTTTTTCCATTATTCTTTAGTTGAATGCCATTTAGTTTCCTTTTCATTAGATATGAATTAGTTAGCCTAGAGTTTGCATGATTTCTCATGGGACATGGTATTAGGACTGTTTTGATAATTCATAAGTAGGGGTATTTCTGAAATCTACTATTGGTCGTATGGGGTAACCTGGTTTATGTATTTTTATAGTACCATATATTCTCCTAGCATTATTAGTTTTAGGCATTAAATTAAAATATGATTATAAGCAATAAATTGTGCTCGAAATGTCATCAGCTAATATTACTGTATAACACTGTGTGACTTTAACAAAGTAAAATTTTATCCTAAATGGAATTATATTCTACCAGTCTTGAAGTTTTATCCTTATTTCCGTAGAACTGTTAATAAATCGTTATATTTGGTGCTGGGACTGATAAATTGGTAGCAAACTTGATTCCAGGGGACAGGGGTACATATGCTGTCCAGATGGACTGATCCATTTTCAGGGAAGATTGTGATACCTGTTGATGTCGTTTCATAATCGCAGTTTACTTCCCTCGATATCAAATGCGTTTTAGACGAAGTAAAGGATGCGTCCTATCAAAGACTGTGGCTTACTTCTGAAAGTAAAAGGCATTTTAAAAGGTGATCTTAGTACTTACGTAGGAAAGCCATGTCAGTTAGAAATGTGTATTAATGGCGTCCCATACCGGTCGGTTTTCGACATAGAACTATGCGCATATGTGCGGTAGTTCAAGTCGCCACACTCCATGTAGCACACAAAGCAAGAGAAGAAAGTAGAAGAAATGCATAATATAGTCAGTAAACAGAGGTGTGAGACAAAGGAATAGTAATAACGGAGAACAAAACAGTTTAATTGGAAATCATAAGTCACAAGGAGTGGATGCATCTGCGCAACTGAGAACGATTTTGAGCCATGTCACCAATTGTTTCCAACCATTGGTTTCTACCGTCCCGAGGACCCCAACTAGTAAGTCTACATCTTCCTACGTGGCTTAAGCTAACTGTTGTGGATTTCATTGACTGGTACAATGTTTTCGTTTTACCGCCGCTAGCTCTTTTCCAGCCTGGCCCTATATCAGCTAAAATTGCCCGTCGAGGAAGGCGATGACTAGGCATACGTAGCACATGTCCTAACCATCTCAGTCGATGTAATTTCACAGTTTCGTAGACTGATTTCCATACCGACTGATTGACAAGGATGGTCCTCTTACGATTCTGTTCAAATAACTATGTATTCATGGAGGGGACAGTGAGGAGTAGTCCAACTGTCATACAGTCGCCCTAAATTCTCTCAGCACTCAACAGCTACCTTAATGGGATATAGATATTGGTCCCCTGACTGGTAACTGAGGTCGCAGAAGCTTCTTGTTTCTTCTCTCTACCTTTGTGTTTCATATGTAGTGTGTGTTGAAAACGCTTGCTATTAGGAAAATAATTGCATTATCTGCCACAGTTTGATCATGTAGGAAAGGCATATCATGAGGAGCTGTATGATTATATGACCCGAAGTTGCTTTTATATATCACCAGTGAATCTTTATGTCCCATTCGAAACTCAAGGAACAAATATTAATTCGGAATTAGGAGCTTCTTCGAAGAGCTTTTACAAGGAAGCCCCACGAAGCAGCCAATTTAGTCCCTCCTATGTATTAAGGAACAATCAACAAAAATTCGGGGAAACTGACTTGCCCAACAGAATTGTTTCATAATTAAATCTACAACCAAATATGCCCAAAATAACTCACCGGACAGTTCTCGGGTTTCCGGCGGATTTCCTTTTCGTGAAGACCTCGAAATATTCGTGGAGTTCTCACAATCGTCTGCAGAAGCATTGAGAAGAAGAAGTGGATCTGTGACCGAATGTAACACAAAATGTACGGATCAACTTACCCTCACAAGGAACAAAAGGGCATTCTGGAGAATATCTATAGAAATTCTCGGATTCTGTGTCAACGATTTTACTTGAACTGATACTTAGGATAGCAAGTAACGACAACTCACTATTTTCCACTTAAAATGCAGTGGATTTCTTCATCAGTGGCTGATTCAGCACCGTTAAGAAGCTGTTCACAAAACCCCGAGTCGTCTCCTGATGCAAAGCAATTTCTTACATAATTTAAAATGCATGCTTTGCTATCAGTTGAGACCATTCCACTCAGAAAGACACTAAATGTTGGGCGAGAAATAAATTCACCTCTCTAGTGAGTCGACCTTGAGAAGTACTATGAAGAGGATTATGACGATTTTTGAAACCGGATCGCTGAAGATTTCAGATTTATTGGTTGATGACAGAAGCCTATTTTAATCCTTTTCTAGTAAATTTCTGTGGTTGTCCAAACCCTCCTTGAACGAATCAACTAAGGTTGCAGACACCACTTCTTCTGGGAGTCGGTTCCAAGAGTTTATGACTCGGTGTGAGAACCAGTACTCAACAGCAATATGATTTCTTCTTTGCTTTTGAACTCTCCTGCTATGTCCTCTAAGGTGTTCCGACCTGGTGGGAAGGAAAAGAGAAAGTAGGTCAGGTCCGTAGTCATTATTTAAAATTTTAAACATTGTGATTAAATCTCCTCTCTGCCTACGGTATGACAAGGAGAAGAGATCTAAACTGTCTAGTCTTTTCTCGTATGATAAGTTAGTCATGCCATGAATCATACGTGTTGCTTTCCTTTGAACCCTTTCTAGAATAAGTGAGTCCCCTTTTAGACAAGGGCTGACGGCCTGGATGCAGTTTTCCAGTCTTGACCTCACCAGAGATGTATATAAGGAGGTGAACATATCTCTGGTGATTCTAGTGAAGGCTCTACGAATTGCCCATAATGACCTGACACTACGTGCAGCCCCCGCGCAACTGTGTGCTGTAGTTTTTAAGTCGTGGCTAACTATGACACCTAAGTCCAAGTGAGTCTGAACTGATGGAAGTGTAATTCCCTCTAATTCGTAGGAGCTCGTGCTTGATTGTCCAATGCGCATGGTTGCACATTTTGCCACACTTATCGGGAGCATCCATTCTATGGACCACTCTGACAATTTTTGAGGTCCTCTTGCAACGTAGACGTGTCACTGTTGCCCTTCAGCTCTCTGCAAATTTTTAAGTCATCTGCGTATAGGACCATAGGGTGGTCGGTGAGTAGAGATAACTCATTGATATACAAAATAACTAGGAGAGGTCCGAGTACCGTGCGTTCTGACAGCAGGTAAGTCAGATACTAAAGTAACTCTCTAATTTATTATTCTAATTTTTTTTGTTCTTCGGATGAATGAATACATGCGGTGGATGAGAGAAGAAAAGATAAACCGGACTAGGAATGATTCCTCGAAGTTGTGAAGATTACATCTGGGTTTTCCCGTTGGGGATGATAATGGAGTGAAGTATTTTTTTGATTCGCCTCCTCTAAATTAGTCCAACCACTTCCTAGATATGAAACGCGTTTTTCACGTGAATCCAACTTTTCAGCCGATTGTTGACAAGTACCCAGAATTTAATTGCCAATCTCACCATCTACCTTGCAAAACCGGCAATGTTATGCATCACATCAAAACATCAGGACAGCCCGTGACATCCAATGCACAACGGTTGGCGGAAAATGGATCCTGTCATATGTTCACTCTTGACATCATTTGTGCATCGAATAGCCCACGGGTATCCCCACTCCACATGGTACCAAAAGGAGGCATCAACGATTGGTAACACGCTGGTTATTATCAGCGAGTGAACGCAAAAATGCCCCCTGATTGCTATCTATTGCCATGCATTACTTAACGGCAGTACTATCTGGTACAACTATTTTTTCGAAAACAGACTTGGATAAAGCATGCGACCAAATCCCAATTGCACCTGATGACATTCTGAAAACGGCTGTCATTACGCCCTTCAGACTTTTTGAATTTCTACGTATGCCATTCTGTCCCCAGAATGCAGCACAAATATTCCAACGCTTCATTGACGGAGTACTTCGCGGTGTCGACTTTGTATGCGCGTACTTAGACGACTGTCTCATTGCGAGTTCAGACAAGGAAACTCACCCTAGACATTTGGATTTGGCACTCGAGAGATTACGCCGACATGGTGTTACCACCAATATTCAAAGTGCCAGATAGGAGTAGAATCATTCAACTTTCTCAGCCACACCACTGACTGCTAGAGTGTCCGCCCGCTAGACAGTGAATCGAGTCGATACTTAACATTTCGGAGCTAAATACGGTGAACGGCTTGGTAAGTTATTACCGAAGCTTCATTCCTAACTGTTCTCTGATTCAGTCATTAACCTTCTTCGAGGGAATAACAAGTCCATCGAACTTGACGCGTTTGCCCGAAATTCTTTCACTCAGGTTAAAAAAGCTATCGCGGATGCCCCACTTCTTATATATCAGGATTCAACAGCACCGTTAAGTATCTTGGTTTATGCATCAGACACTGCAATCGGCGCAGTTCTGCAACAACTACCCGACAAAAAGTGACAACCACTCGCCTTTTTCCCGAGGCGCCTTCAATTAGCAGAAACGAAGTACAGCACATTCGGCAGAGAACTTCTTGCTATGTAATGTGCTATACGTCATTTCAGACATTCACTGGAGGGTCGCGAATGCCTAATTTTCACCAACCAAAAGTCCCTTATGTACTATCTGAACTCAACCCCAGATGAGTATCCACCTAGAGAATCACGGCAACTGTACTACTTTTCAAAGTTCACATCGGATATTCGCCATATATCCGGAGTGAACAACACTGTGGCAGATGCCTTGCCGCACATTTGTTCCCTCACACAAGCAGATGGCATAGACCTTGTGAAACTGGCTCGTCTTCAAAAAGATACCGAGCTTCAACATTAGCTGTTGAAAACAACACTGCAATTAGCTGAGAAACCCTTAGGTACAGGGACAGGCACTATTCTTTGTGGCATTTCTATGAGTACTCTTCACCCCATCGTGCATGAAAGTTATCGCCTTTCAATACCTTGCACGGCTTATCCCACCCTGGCATTTGAACTATTATCAAGCTCATGACTAGTCGGTTTCGTTGGCCCGGTACTAATAAAGAAGTGAGGGAATGCGTGGATATGTGCTTGGTTTGCCAAAATGCAAGGTAGTAAGAAACTCCAGAAACCGCCGAAGCACCTTTCTTATCCCTGATGCTCCTTTCGAACACATGGATATAGATCTAGTTGAACCATTCCCAGAATCTCATGGATATGCTTATATCCTGACCTGCACCAGCCGTTTTACGCGTTGGCCTAAAGTAGTACCCCTCAAGGATGCATCTGTCGAGACAGTCTCACACATCTTTGTCGAACGATGGATCGCAAGTTTTGGATGTCCATCCTCCACAACAACTGATCGCGGGCGGTAATTTGAAAGCGGCCCATTCTTTACCTTGACTAAAATCCTAGGTTGTATGCCTTTTAGAGCAATGGCCTACCATCCTCAAGCTAATAGTATGGTAGAAAGTTTACACCAATAGTTGAAGGCTGGGTGATCAGCTGCAAACAATGTACATTGGACTGAATCACTTCCGTTAGTTCTCCTAGGGATACGAAACGCCTTGAAAACTGATGCTGGTTGTACTACCACCGAGCTAGTACGTAACACAGAAATACCACTGCCAGGTGGGTATTTATTTCTCTCTCTACCTTCCCACCAGCAGTAGATCACACCTCATACGTCAGCAGGCTTACAAACGCAATGCGTTCAGTCAAACCTGCTCCCCTCCGACCATAGTTCATAGACGTCTCTGTTCAACCAAGTCTGAAAACTTTCCCATACGTATTCGCTCGTCATGACTCTGTGCATCACCTATAGAACCCCCATACGATCGACCGCACAAAGTCATTGAACGTATGGATAAATTCCTTGTCTTAGACAAAAAAGGCCGCGAAGACACCGTTAGCATCGACCGTCTGAAACGGCCTACTTAGAAGGCAATCCTATAAGCCTAAAGCTGAACATTCCTAGTAATACACAAGTAATGAATATCCTTTAGTCCTCGAATAAATCACTAGCATGGCGAAAGCCGCTGAACGTTCTGTCGAGCCCTCAAAGTGAACGCGTCCTGAACGAACCATGAGATTCCCCGTACATCTTCACACTTATATCAAATAACTAAGAGACGCGATTCACCCATTTCTTATACGTTTGTAGTATTTCTTTCTTTCTTTCAGACACATCTTTTTTATATTGCGTCCCACAACACAGGTAAAAAGCTTTTCCATAACCATACATGTTACATTCACTAAAAAATTAGAAATATACTTTTGTCAATATTCTATTTTCGCATTATTTTACTGTATGGTAGATGCATATAATTTTTCAAACGTTTCTTTTGGCATGCCTTCCTCAACAAAGTTCTTAGCATTCTTGTTTTCTTCTCCGGGTGCGACGGGCACTGGAAAAGAGGCAAACGAAGCACGAAATCCAAAGAACAAACATCAACGAAGCGATGTACAGACACCCTATTAGCATAGGTAGACGACCATTAGGCACTACATCAAGGCAATCGGAAGAGTTTTTTATTGATGGGAAAACCAGTGGGTTTGTCATTTCCGGCTGGTTTTGTCTTAGAGTAGCTGTAGTGGTAGGTAATTCCCCAGAACTATTGGCCACAGCATTCATCACTGAACATTGGATGCTGACCCTCACTGTTTAAGTCAACTTGTTTAGCTGAAGGCTTCCGGTCAAACATCCACGCCATCTGGCACGCCGTTGTGATATTTTCGTTCGTGCACGATCCCTAGCTAGTTAAGTAATCATCTCTCAAGCCGATTTGGTCCCGAAATATTACTCGCCATTTGGACGGGCAACCCTGGTGATTAGCTTTGCCTTTGGTCTACGCGAAACGAATACTATAGAAGTTGTGTGTATTAGATCTTGCGTTAGTATGCTTCATGCTACCCGCGAACGTCAATACTTTCAGCCTACAAATTACTGATAGATATCTTCGCCGAATTCCCTATTTTTCTCTCTAATATCATATATTTATGGCTAAACTAAACCAAAACCAGACACATAAACACTCGTAACAAGGAACCGCGTAATTCGACAAACCATCTATGAGTGAAAAATTCTTCACAAAGCACTTCGTGGACGATACGATCACAATGGAAATTCTCATTCGGACGCTGCAACCAACTATGTAACTATTATCTGTTTCTCTCGCAAGGTGAGGGTTATTATCTAGCCATGCGCATCTCCCATATTCACTTATAATTTCCCAACTATTTAAAAAA